AGGTAATATGTTCAGGTTCGGGCATTCATAGAGCAAATCTCAAGGTCGCTCTTGGTGAGTCCCATATCCTGAAGTCCACGTGCATTCTTCCTGCATTATCACCCTCTCCAATTAAGGGCTATATAAAAGGCGGATGCTGTGTGCTTACCGATATGTTCCCTGACCTGTTGAAGGTTATCCGGGGTGTTGTACTTGTCACACTTGCTCTGATGTGGACGGGAGAGTGGAAAGTTATCAACAGAGACCTGGGTATCTAATATAAAGGCCTCGTTACCTTTGCAAGCGATGATGATGTCAGACATGCAGAAGGTCCCTCTGTCCGGTATACGGACCTCACGTTCCACTACAAAACTTCTCTGCCGCTGGTGGCCAGCTACAACCCGGGTGATATCGTCATGACGTTTCACCCGAGCCCCCATGCGTCTTAGCCCCAGAGTCCTTGGTCTCCAGCAAGCATTGTAGAGACCAGAAGCCCCGGGTCTACCCTTAGCAGCTCTAGACGGAGTGGCTATAACGTTTGCCCTAATCTGAATGGCATGGGTAAAATCTCCTCCGCTTAACATACGGGTACCGAACGAGACCCACTTGTGGCAGAAAGGAACCTCACAAGCGGATGCAAGGCCGGCACCGTCAACCTTGTTTCTTGTTGTACAGTTTTGCTTTCCAAACTCTACAGCGCTCAGACGTATTTTTAGAAGGGGTTCCAGCGGCCGAAGTCGGGTCTACCCATCGACACATTCGCGCTTGGAATGCGGGCAGGAGAGCCGCTGCCACTGCCACTGGATTCTCCGACTCTACCATCGCTCAGAGCCGCTTGTTCTTTAGTAGGCAGATTGATGCTGCAAAGTCAGGAATTCCTAGTTCACCGTCCTTTACGTCAGCATAAAAGAAAACACTGGGGGGTATCGTGTGGCAGTCGTAGTCAGCTACAAATGGCCTACCGTAACTGCCTGTCGAGCCTTGCCAACTCCGTCTTAAACACACGTCCGAGGACAAGGTACTGGTTCATTTTGGGAATCAGGTGGTGTTTAAGTAGGTATAGCCTCTGTTGGGGTTTGAGGGGGGGGGGGCTTGGTGTTATTCATTAGGTCCTCCTCAAACAAGGAACTATAGGATAAGCGTCTGCCTCCAGCCTGGATAAGTATACCTAAGTATTTGTATTTGTCCGTTACACTCATAGTATCAATGCCATCACCTCCAACTTCATATTTCCACCTAGTTAGAACATGCCAAGTCTCATGACGTAAATCAATTACTAAGCATAGCGAACGGCATTCCGCAGCATTCACCTTAATTAAGGCTAGAGCCACGCAGTGTGTGGCAAATGCATGCTAGAAGGAACTGTAGTCCGTGAGGCGTTTCTGCTGTCACTGCCACATCGTCGGCGAACGCCAGTACTTTATAATGTTCTTTAAAGGTAGGGTCTTCCAATCCTTAGAATGGGTCTAATCCTTTACATTGCTTTTTCGTTCTACAGTGTGATTTGGTTCTGTTTTGTAGATGGTTTCCGTTTTTATATTTTCGTTTTTTTCCATAGAGCAGGAGCTGGAACTTACTTTCATTAAATATCATATTATTATCTGTGGCCCATTGAAAAACCAGATCTACATCAGACAGGAGGTTTGCTGTGTCCTCTATTGTCTACTCGCATGTAAATCCTGGTGTCATCTGCAAGTGATGATACAGTGCTGTAGTTTGTATCTGTGTCCATGTCTCATATTAGGATGAGAAAAAGTACCGGAGCAAGTACGGTACCTTCAGGGACTGAGCTCTTCACAATAGATGATCCGGATTTTACTGTGTTGACTATTACACTCTGCATTAGGAAGTCGATGATCCGTCTCCCTAATTTGCCAGTAATTCCTTTTTCGTGCATTTTATGCGCAATAACACAATGGTTACATTTGTCGATATCTTTTGCAAACTCTCTGTATGTTACATCTGCATTTTGCTTGTCTTCCATGGCAACTGAGGCCATGTCATAGTGACCTAGCAACTGTGATATGCGAACAAGCCTGAACGGTCTCCAGGCATATATGCCACTGAAAACTCACACCCCAGAAGTGACTCGAACCCATACTGCCAGAAGCAATGCAACTGATGTACAGGATCCCTTAACCACTCGACCAACACGACCGGACAAAAAGAGGATCACACACTTCTGGGGTATGAGCTGACCCAGTACTCAGACCAACCCTGCCAAAAACCAAGAAACAATCCAGCTGGGACAGCCCCAGTGTTGCTGACTCCAGCTGGAGTCAGCAACAACCCCCAGTGATCGTGCACACCTCACAGCTGTGCAGGCTCCCCATACAGGGGACTTCCTTTTGGCAGTCCCTATGTCTGCGACAGGCACACATCTTGATCCGTAGGAGCTCCGTAATGCGGTTGCTCTCCACCTTGCTGCCCTTATCTACACTGTTCATAGGTGTATTTGCGGCGAGGCAGATGATGACGAATATGGATTGCATGGCCTGCACTGTGGAAAATCTGGTGGTTGGCACACTAGACACGACGAAGTCAATGACGTCATTAAAAGAAGCCTTGCCTCTGCCCAGTGTCTAGCAGACAGAGAGCCCCGCAACCTATTGAAACGTGACTCTGTTAGCTTTGCCGGCCGACCAGACGGAGTCACACTGCACCCTTAGAAGGGTGGCAGACAGTTGGCATGGGACTATACTTGAGTATCCAACCTGGCAACCACATACATCAACCTCTCTGCTGGCAAAGCAGGAGCCGCGGCGACACACAGAGAAAAATCTAAATCAGCCAAGTACAGGGAATTAGATCATCGGTACAACTTCGTTCCAATAGGGTCTAAGACCCTAGACCCATGGGGAGAGAGTGCAAGAAGGTTTCTTAAGGATCTTGGTTCCAAGCTCATTGACACTACAAGAGACCCTAGAGCAGCAAGTTTTCTCTTTCAGCGCCTCAGTGTCGCGATCTAGAGGGGGAATGCTCGCTGCGTCCTCGGTTCCTGCCCGGCGTCGGAGGAATTTGAGGAAATGTATCGCCTCTAGGAGGCGAACTTTTTCTTGTGTCCTCTCAATGTTAATTTATTGTATAAAATCAGATATGTAACTGTATTACCTTACATAATAAAGTGTACACCATAAAAAAGTGGGGAGGTGGGAGAAGCGAACACTCATACGTATTCAGAGTTAAATGACAAGTTTTTCTCTGAATGCTCTGTGTCCCCTTCCTTTAGGCTGTGGGTCCCTATAATTGCACCAGAGGTGGTATATATATATATATATATATATATATATATATATATATATATATATATATATATATATATATATATATATATATCAGGCTTGTTCACACATATATATATATATATATATATATATATATATATATATATATATATATATATATATATATATATATATATATATATATATATATATATATATATATATATATATATATATATATATATATATATATATATACATAGCTTAGGTTAAGTTTTCTTTGCAACATCATTACAAAAACTTTTTTGGTTCGTCCAAATTCAATAGTAACAATGTCAACTTTCTAATTGTCTTTATGTCAATATATGTAAGATGGTCCTCATCGTTATTATAAGTACTACCTAAACAGGAAGACGGGCATGGGGGAGACAGTACCTGTGGGGTGTGGGGGGGGGCCTGGGAGGAGGGGTGGCCCTGGGAGGAAGGGTGGGGGAGACAGTACCTGTGGAGTGTGGGGGGTGGCCCTGGGAGGAGGGGGGGAGACAGTACCTGTGGGGTGTGGGGGGGGGCCTGGGAGGAGGGGGGGAGACAGTACCTGTGGAGTGTGGGGGGGGGCCCGGGGAGGAGGGGTGGGGGAGACAGTACCTGTGGGGTGTGGGGGGGGCCCGGGGAGGAGGGGGGGAGACAGTACCTGTGGGGTGTGGGGGGTGGCCCTGGGAGGAAGGGTGGGGGAGACAGTACCTGTGGAGTGTGGGGGGTGGCCCTGGGAGGAGGGGGGGAGACAGTACCTGTGGAGTGTGGGGGGGCCCGGGGAGGAGGGGTGGGGGAGACAGTACCTGTGGAGTGTGGGGGTGGCCCCTGGGAGGAGGGGTGGGGGAGACAGTACCTGTGGAGTGTGGGGGGTGGCCCTGGGAGGAAGGGTGGGGGAGACAGTACCTGTGGAGTGTGGGGGTGGCCTCTGAGAGGAAGGGTGGGGGAGACAGTACCTGTGGAGTGTGGGGGTGGCCCTGGGAGGAAGGGTGGGGGAGACAGTACCTGTGGAGTGTGGGGGTGGCCTCTGAGAGGAAGGGTGGGGGAGACAGTACCTGTGGAGTGTGGGGGTGGCCCTGGGAGGAAGGGTGGGGGAGACAGAACCTGTGGAGTGTGGGGGTGGCCTCTGAGAGGAAGGGTGGGGGAGACAGTACCCGTGGAGTGTGGGGGTGGCCCTGGGAGGAAGGGTGGGGGAGACAGTACCTGTGGAGTGTGGGGGTGGCCCTGGGAGGAGGGGGGGAGACAGTACCTGTGGAGTGTGGGGGTGGCCCTTGGGAGGAGGGGTGGCCCTGGGAGGAGGGGGGAGACAGAACCTGTGGAGTGTGGGGGTGGCCTCTGGGAGGAAGGGTGGGGGAGACAGTACCTGTGTAGTGTGGGGGAGGCCCTGGGAGGAGGGGGGGAGACAGTACCTGTGGAGTGTGGGGGTGGCCCTGGGAGGAGGGGGGGGAGACAGTACCTGTGGAGTGTGGGGGTGGCCCTTGGGAGGAGGGGTGGCCCTGGGAGGAGGGGGGGAGACAGTACCTGTGGAGTGTGGGGGTGGCCTCTGGGAGGAAGGGTGGGGGAGACAGTACCTGTGGAGTGTGGGGGTGGCCCTGGGAGGAGGGGGGGAGACAGTACCTGTGGAGTGTGGGGGTGGCCTCTGGGAGGAAGGGTGGGGGAGACAGTACCTGTGGAGTGTGGGGGTGGCCCCAGGGAGGAAGGGTGGGGGAGACAGTACCTGTGGAGTGTGGGGGTGGCCTCTGGGAGGAAGGGTGGGGGAGACAGTACCTGTGGAGTGTGGGGGTGGCCCCTGGGAGAAGGGACGCTGGAGGGTGTGTCCGGCCTTGTCGTCGTCGGTAGAGTGTCTGGAGGAGGAATCACTCAAGGCCGACTCCAGGGTGAATCTCTCCGACTCCAGGGTCTGGGAACGGTGTGCCCGGCTCCTGCGGGAGGCAGACGGCGAGGCCGGCAGAAGATGGCGAGGCAGGCAGCAGGCGGCGAGGCAGGCAGGCAGCAGGCGGCGAGGCAGGCAGGCAGCAGGCGGCGAGGCAGGCAGGCAGCAGGCGGGAAGAAATACATTGACTTACTGAGGGAACACCCATGGTGGGCACGGTACAAGGGGAGGAAGGAAGAAGTAAATGATGCTGGCATGGTGTTATGTCTTCCAGGCATAACACAATATATAAATAAATGTGGTAGGAGTACATTTCTGCGATCATAGGGAGATATATGCAGTCACTAAACTCTCATATGCGGTCAGAGGTCTTGTGGTGCAGGGGCAGGAAGAGCCCGCCTGCCGCACACTCACTGACTCCCCTGTCTCGTTATGTCACCGGAATCCGGAAGGTCATCGCCCCACCTGTTGCCTCGTATGAATGGCATGTAAAATGAGTGAAGGTTGGCCCATTCTGTAAGTTCTGTAAGTAAGAAGGTTGGCCCATTCTGTAAGTTCTGTAAGTAAGAAGGTTGGCCCATTCTGTAAGTTCTATAAGTAAGAAGGTTGGCCCATTCTGTAAGTTCTGTAAGTAAGAAGGTTGGCCCATTCTGTAAGTTCTGTAAGTAAGAAGGTTGGCCCATTCTGTAAGTTCTATAAGTAAGAAGGTTGGCCCATTCTGTAAGTTCTGTAAATAAGAAGGTTGGCCCATTCTGTAAGTTCTATAAGTAAGAAGGTTGGCCCATTCTGTAAGTTCTGTAAGTAAGAAGGTTGGCCCATTCTGTAAGTTCTATAAGTAAGAAGATTGGCCCATTCTGTAAGTTCTGTAAGTAAGAAGATTGGCCCATTCTGTAAGTTCTATAAGTAAGAAGATTGGCCCATTCTGTAAGTTCTATAAGTAAGAAGATTGGCCCATTCTGTAAGTTCTGTAAGTAAGAAGATTGGCCCATTCTGTCTCTACTAGTTCATACGTATTGTCAGTGTTGATCTCAGTGATGGAGAATATCGTCTTGCGCCCCGGAATAGGCGAAGGAGGAGAGACGTGACTGTCATTTGTCACACCGTCACGCTGCGTGATGATGTTTGCACACTTGTTCAGGTGTAGGAGGGCCTATACCTGACACTTGTTCAGGTGTAGGAGGGCCTACACCTGACACTTGTTCAGGTGTAGGAGGGCCTATACCTGACACTTGTTCAGGTGTAGGAGGGCCTATACCTGACACTTGTTCAGGTGTAGGAGGGCCTACACCTGACACTTGTTCAGGTGTAGGAGGGCCTATACCTGACACTTGTTCAGGTGTAGGAGGGCCTATACCTGACACTTGTTCAGGTGTAAGAGGGCCTACACCTGACACTTGTTCAGGTGTAGGAGGGCCTAAACCTGACACTTGTTCAGGTGTAGGAGGGCCTATACCTGACACTTGTTCAGGTGTAGGAGGGCCTATACCTGACACTTGTTCAGGTGTAGGAGGGCCTATACCTGACACTTGTTCAGGTGTAGGAGGGCCTACACCTGACACTTGTTCAGGTGTAAGAGGGCCTACACCTGACACTTGTTCAGGTGTAGGAGGGCCTATACCTGACACTTGTTCAGGTGTAGGAGGACCTACACCTGACACTTGTTCAGGTGTAAGAGGGCCTACACTGACACTTGTTCAGGTGTAGGAGGGCCTATACCTGACACTTGTTCAGGTGTAGGAGGGCCTATACCTGACACTTGTTCAGGTGTAGGAGGGCCTACACCTGACACTTGTTCAGGTGTAGGAGGGCCTACACCTGACACTTGTTCAGGTGTAAGAGGGCCTACACCTGACACTTGTTCAGGTGTAGGAGGGCCTACACCTGACATTTGTTCAGGTGTAGGAGGGCCTAGACCTGACACTTGTTCAGGTGTAGGAGGGCCTAGACCTGACACTTGTTCAGGTGTAGGAGGGCCTAGACCTGACACTTGTTCAGGTGTAGGAGGGCCTAGACCTGACACTTGTTCAGGTGTAGGAGGGCCTACACCTGACACTTGTTCAGGTGTAGGAGGGCCTACACCTGACACTTGTTCAGGTGTAGGAGGGCCTACACCTGACACTTGTTCAGGTGTAGGAGGGCCTACACCTGACACTTGTTCAGGTGTAGGAGGGCCTACACCTGACACTTGTTCAGGTGTAGGAGGGCCTACACCTGACACTTGTTCAGGTGTAGGAGGGCCTACACCTGACACTTGTTCAGGTGTAGGAGGGTCGGCCTAGTCCTTCACACATTTCAGGTCTCAATGACCTGTGATGTTTCACTGTAATTATGTGTCCCAGTGACTTGTAGAGTCTCAGTGACTTGTAGAGTCCCAGTGACTTGTAGAGTCTCAGTGACTTGTAGAGTCCCAGTGACTTGTAGAGTCTCAGTGACTTGTAGAGTCTCAGTGACTTGTAGAGTCTCAGTGACTTGTAGAGTCTCAGTGACTTGTAGAGTCTCAGTGACTTGTAGAGTCCCAGTGACTTGTAGAGTCTCAGTGACTTGTAGAGTCTCAGTGACTTGTAGAGTCTCAGTGACTTGTAGAGTCCCAGTGACTTGTAAAGTCTCAGTGACTTATAGAGTCCCAGTGACTTGTAGAGTCTCAGTGACTTGTAGAGTCTCAGTGACTTGTAGAGTCTCAGTGACTTATAGAGTCCCAGTGACTTGTAGAGTCTCAGTGACTTGTAGAGTCTCAGTGACTTGTAGAGTCCCAGTGACTTATAGAGTCCCAGTGACTTGTAGAGTCTCAGTGACTTGTAGAGTCTCAGTGACTTGTAGAGTCTCAGTGACTTGTAGAGTCCCAGTGACTTGTAGAGTCCCAGTGACTTGTAGAGTCTCAGTGACTTGTAGAGTCTCAGTGACTTGTAGAGTCTCAGTGACTTGTAGAGTCTCAGTGACTTGTAGAGTCTCAGTGACTTGTAGAGTCTCAGTGACTTGTAGAGTCTCAGTGACTTGTAGAGTCCCAGTGACTTGTAGAGTCTCAGTGACTTGTAGAGTCTCAGTGACTTGCAGGTGTTGCACTATGGATTTAGTTCCTGTGACTTGTGAGTATTTTAATGGGTAGTTATAATGTCAGAGGCTTGTATCAATCCCTTGACCTATTCTTGTCTCAATGACCACTTGTCTCAGGCATTGTTATGTGTGTCAGTGTTGTACAATCTCTGGCAGTGATTATTAGTCTTTGTAACCTGTGTAAGTGATCATTGTGCAGTGTGCTGCCAGACAATTATTGCTGTGTGGTTACTTAATGTTACTGATTGTCTTTGTGTATTTCAAGATGTTGGTTACACGAGTGTATAGTTAAAACTGCGATCAGTGACCCTTGTTACTGCAAGTGTTGTGTGCACTTGATATCAGAGTGTTCGCAAGTGTTCACGAGTGTTCATTCAGTTCACTTTGTTCTCAGGCAAGAGTTAGCTCCGAGGAAACGTGTCCTGATGCGTGTATACTTTAGTATAGCCTTAACAACTTACACTCTTCCTTAATGTAACGAAAGCTGCCAGTGTATTGGTAAATTTATGGAACAAAACTACTGTTGTTAATAACAGTGAACTTGCATGAACCCTTCCACAAGCACTGCTGCCTCAGTCCTCTCTCACTTCACAAATATTGTACACAGGCTCCGGGTATCAATGGCCTATTGCCTTTAGCACTGAATTAAAATTCGGCGTGAGATCCTCAGAGTGTGTGTAGAGTGCGTGAGACCCCCAGAGTGTCTGTAGAGTGCCTGAGACCCCCAGAGTGTCTGTAGAGTGTGTGAGACCCCCAGAGTGTCTGTAGAGTGCCTGAGACCCCCAGAGTGTCTGTAGAGTGCCTGAGACCCCCAGAGTGTCTGTAGAGTGTGTGAGACCCCCAGAGTGTCTGTAGAGTGCGTCTACACTCTGGAGTAACGGTAAGGCCGGGTGGGTGCAGGCACCCGAGTGATGGCTGGGAGTGTGTGTGTCCTGAGACACTCCTTCAGGGGTACAGGGAGCCTCGTCTCCGTGCCAGCTGCTAGTGTGTAGACTGGCCACGAGTGAGGTTGGCGCTGCTGCACAGTTGGGTCGTTGTAGCAGTTAATGGTACTACTTCACGGTGGGTGACCTGACTCACACTGTGTGGGTGACCTGACTCACACTGTGTGGGTGACCTGACTCACACTGTGTGGGTGACCTGACTCACACTATGTGGGTGACGTGACTCACACTATGTGGGTGACGTGACTCACACTATGTGGGTGACCTGACTCACACTATGTGGGTGACCTGACTCACACTATGTGGGTGACGTGACTCACACTATGTGGGTGACCTGACTCACACTGTGTGGGTGACCTGACTCACACTATGTGGGTGACGTGACTCACACTATGTGGGTGACCTGACTCACACTATGTGGGTGACCTGACTCACACTGTGTGGGTGACCTGACTCACACTGTGTGGGTGACCTGACTCACACTATGTGGGTGACCTGACTCACACTATGTGGGTGACGTGACTCACACTATGTGGGTGACCTGACTCACACTATGTGGGTGACCTGACTCACACTATGTGGGTGACGTGACTCACACTATGTGGGTGACGTGACTCACACTATGTGGGTGACCTGACTCACACTATGTGGGTGACGTGACTCACACTATGTGGGTGACCTGACTCACACTATGTGGGTGACGTGACTCACACTATGTGGGTGACGTGACTCACACTATGTGGGTGACCTGACACACTATGTGGGTGACGTGACTCACACTATGTGGGTGACCTGACTCACACTATGTGGGTGACTTGACTCACACTATGTGGGCGACGTGACTCACACTATGTGGGTGACGTGACTCACACTATGTGGGTGACGTGACTCACACTATGTGGGTGACCTGACTCACACTGTGTGGGTGACCTGACTCACACTATGTGGGTGACGTGACTCACACTATGTGGGTGACGTGACTCACACTATGTGGGTGACCTGACTCACACTATGTGGGTGACCTGACTCACACTATGTGGGTGACGTGACTCAC